AATCTAAAAAATCATTTTTCCACAAATACCCTTAAAACTAGCCATTTATAGCTGTTAGGAGGGGTAATTTGGGGATTTCATAATTTTTTTTAAAAAAAAAGCTGCTGCCTGTTGGAACCGACGATTCGAACCGGTCGAACCGGCAGTTCTAGCCGTTACAAAAATATAACTTATCAAAAATATAAAAAATTATCAACATGAGAATAACTTAAGTGTTTCCTATGCTAATTATATTCTAGCAAAAATTTAATTCTCAACAAAACGCATTCCTTAATTTAAACATAAGTTAATAAGATTTTCAACACCAATAATTATTCAACCTATCACAAATAGAATGTGAATTTTTCACAAAAATTATTTAACATTCTTTTATTAAGGTTATAATAGGGTTTTAGAGGTATAATTTTAGCTAAACAAAGAAAAAAGGATAAAAAGATAGACAAAAAGTACAAAGAATGCATAATATCAAGATTTTCATTGCATCAAAGTAATTTTTTTTTTTTTTAATAAGGAGACATTTCTTTGGATTACTTTACTAGCAAAACATTAGAGATATTTCGACAAAGGAGTTGTACCTCACTTTCTTATTGTCATTAATAGTCGTGTTTGAAAATAATAAAATGAGATTTAATTCGTCTTCAAAGGAGTTGTATTCTTCACATGTAGGCTTTACTTCTTTTAAATGTGCAATTTTCCATGAAGTTTTCTCATAATTTACCTTGCACTCTTCGTGTTGGTATCTATTAGCCATTAGGTTTGCAAATTGCTCTCATCGTCCCTCTAAATTCTTCATTGTATCTTGTTGGATCTTAAAACTCTTGTGAGTTTCATTCATAAATTCCATGTGACATTTAGTGAGGGCATCAATTAAATCCTTAATTTAATTCTCCTTTTTCTCTTCATCCTCAAAATTTAGAGGGTGTTGGTGATTTCAACCCTGCAGTGAGGGATCCCAATGCCAATGATGTCAGATTATTTTAATAATCTATGTGGCCCATGTAATTAAAGGGCTGGTTCTAATTAAGGTGGCCCAAGATGATGGTTATTGGGCTTAATGGGATGAGGGCCAGTTAGGATTTTAATACCCTTCTTCTGTTAATGGGATCGAGGGCCCAGTTAGCGATTTTAATAACCCTTCTTCTGCCTTTAAAAAGATTCAAGGAAAATCAACAGTGTAGGTTTAAAGAGAGGTGTGGATGGCTTACCTCAAACATCATAGCGGTGATAGGTTGTTTGAGATAAATGAAGAACGAAACCCCCATTGTTGCCTTGTCGATAATTCTCCTGACCATTAAGAGAGCAACTTACACGAAAAAAGGCTAGAGTGAAGAAACAATAGGGTCTACTATACGTGAAAATCGAATTGGCGCACAAGGTAATCAATAGCTAATGGTCAAGGTACGCTTCCGTTAATAGTTTTCTATTAAATTAATTTCTAGATCAACGATCTAGGTAACATTAAAGGGTTTTTCCAAAATGGTAGTTAAATTCGCCATATTATTTAAACATGTGAAGTAATCTTCATAAGCTACTTTTTGAAGGTGAATACTAGTTGCCGAAAATCCACTATCTATCTACCCCAACTTTTGTTTCTTCATCTAATCCAAAGTAAAATATTGTAAATGAGATATTTATTTGTAAAATTTATGATAAGAAAATCTCTCTAACAATTCGTTAATCTTGCCCAAGAGCATAAGATCGAGCCCAGAGTGCTTGTTGACCTAACATATGCGACTATTTGTCGGTGAAACAATCTCAAAATACTTTTGGCAAGAAAAAATGAAAATATGAAAAACTACAAATAAAATAAAAACAAATATTTAATTCAACAAAACAAAGGAAACAAAAAAAATCTAAAATAAAAAATGTCTAAATTAACAAAAGGTTAACCTTGGTATTGATATTGGGTAAATGCCAATCCCGGAATCCCGGGCAACGGCGCCAAAAACTTGATAGACTTTTTTACAAGTGTACGAAATTGCAAACAAGTAATAAAGAGTGAGTAGAGTATCGTTCCATGAAGATTGCATACCAAGTACTAAAATTGTGTTAATCTATTATTATTATTTAAATGACAAGAAAGAGAATGTATTTGAAAATAAAAGAATTAAAGTAAAAAATAATAAGAATGAAATCAAGCAAGAAGATGTTGAAAAGAGATCAAGGGCTAAAAGTTACTAGGAGATTTTGACTTCATTTAATTCTATCCGGTTTATCTTATTAGTTTAATAATCAAGTTTAATTATTCAAGAAGGAGAAATAATCCTAAATTCGCTAATAAGCTCTCTCGATGTTTTATTAGCTAATTTAAACCACTTTAATTATCCATCTCTCGTTGGCATAATAAAAAATAGATTAAATCATTAAGTTCTTGTGATTATTCAGGAATTCATAAATTAAGACCTTTAATTTTATGAAAACCTTCCACACGTCAAACCATCTAACTCTTGCATCAAGTTGTTATTTCCATGAAATTTATTACCTTGTTCATGTCAAAAACCCTTCTCTCGAAAGTGATTCATGAAATAAATCAATCCAGAGGAGAAACTCTACCTAGAAGCATTAAGATCAATAATAAATTTTACTTGAATAAAGAAAATCAAATCTAATATTATAAACTGGAGTTGAATTTAAGCTACAGGAGTTGAATTTAAGTTCTACAATTATTTATCCCTAGTAAAGAGATTTTAGTTCGACATAGTGAAGAATAAATCAAACTCAATTAAATTTGTAAATAATCCCATAAAGAATAATAAACAAAAGAGAGTTTAGAAATAAAAACTAGTCAACGATTAGCTTGAATGGCTTCCTTGAATCTTGACACCGGCTTGAGCACTTGAAGTCTTAAAAAGAGAGAAAACTATCTAGAGAACAAGAGAATCAGAGATCAAAAGATGATCATAGTCTAGATAATCTCTCTCATTTTATAGACTCCTTGGGAAATCTCCAAACTTGATTAGGAAATACAATCTCTAATGAGGAAGAAATCGATTAATTTGATGTAGAAAACTGTTTAGGCTTACTATTTCTTCTAATTTAGGATTCTTCTAGCGGTTTGAAATTTAGGATTCTTCTAGCGGTTTGATAGGATTTAAACTTAATTAGCACGTCAGAAAGACATCTCATGCGAGTTCATGCAAGCAGCACGGCTAGAGTTGTCATTTTCGGCCCAATATGAAGCTAGACAATCAGCACGGGCGTGCTAGAAAGCATGGTCTGGGCGTGCTATGCTTTGAGTCTCTAGGGTAGATGCATGGCCCGTGCTCAGGTGAGCGCCCCCTTGGATCAACATTCTCTTGAGGTATAGGCATGCCAGATAGCACGGCTAGGGCGTGATACGCTCTGAGTCTCCATAAATTCCATTGAATTCAGCACGGGGGTGCTGGAGTACACACCCAGGGCATGCTAGACTTTGAAAGTTTTGCTTAACTTCACTCTTTTCTGTATTTTTGACTGGTTTCCCATCAAAATTTTATAAAATTCCTCAAAATCAAATGAAATGTGATTCAAGAAAGCTTTATTGAAAAACATAAATAAAACTAAATAAAAATTAATTAAAGTAATTAAAAATATTAAAATTCTATTAAAATTCCTTGTAAAAATTATATTAAAAATCTATAATAACATTATCAACTACCTTTATCTCGCTCAAAATCAAATGAAATGTGATTCAAGAAAGCTTTATTGAAAAACATAAATAAAACTAAATAAAAATTAATTAAAGTAATTAAAAATATTAAAATTCCTTGTAAAAATTATATTAAAAATACTATAAAAATAACACTTATCAACTACTTTATCTCGAAAGGATTGCTCACCAACATAATCTTTCAAGTATAGCACCTCAAATTGCAACTTAACCTATTTTTCTCTATGTTTCACCTTCTCCGTAGCATGGTCGGCCTCAGACATGTTCTCGTTAGGGTTTTCCGCTCAGAGAGTTTTCTCTCCAACTTTTACTTTAATTTATTTATACATTAAATACTAATGATTCATATTAAAGTTAAAAATACTTTTATGAAACGAAATGAATTATAACTAGCAGCACATATAAATTTTTTTGTTTTGTGTTACAGTTATATCCATTATCAAGATAGGCTTTAATTTTTGAATTAGTCGCTAATATATTCATATAATCAAAATTTTATTTTATAGAATTAAAAAGTTAATGAAAGGTTACGATAATAGGCATGAATATGGTTTTAGTTTAAAAACCATATTCATGCCTATTATCGTAAACACTTTTTTGGTGGTTTGACAATTGTTTATTTCAATTTAGTTGATTTAAAATTCGAAATGATAAATTTAAATTTTCATGTTTCTTTTTTTGAGTTATTTTAATTTTGTAGTATGAATAAATAATGAAAAATAATAATTCTTTTCTTAAAAAAAGAAAAAAATAAATAAAAATATTGAAAAAGGCAGAGAGTTCAATAAGAAGTTTTAAACTGTATTTGAAAAAAAAAATTTAAAAGAAAAAATAAATATAGGAGGTTCTTTTGAAATTGTTAAGTTTTCTTTTATGGTTTCAACCTGAAACCGTCGGTACTAGAGTAAAATTGAATTGTAACTGCAGTTTTGATATTGATCTAGAACCTAAATAGTTAAATAAAGTTGGTTTTTAAAATTTTTCCAATTTGATTTCAGTTTAAAATTAATAAACTACGGTGATGCCTAATTAATTTGGTCAGTGAACTTAATTTGACTATGACCAACTAAAGATAAAGATTAAATATTTTTCCAACTTTAACTATATGGATATATAAAATTTTTTTAAAAAAAAACTATATCGATATATAATTTTTTAAAAAATTAGAGTACATAACTTCAATTTTCAACAATATTTGAATTTGTTTGAGATGTTTTGGTCAGATGGCGGACTTGCCCATGAAATATTTAAGCTTTTGACTTGCTTGCTTCCTCCCTTTGATTACGCCATTGAATTATACCTTTATATACACCTTCCAAAGCATAGACTAAACTATCTCCTAACTCAGAATTTTACAAATGCAGACTTTTCTTAAGGCATCACCTTCCAAATCCCATTTCTCCAACCTCATTCTAATCTCATCTTCCATTTGCATAATCTATCTTCTTGTATCTCTCTTCCTTGTACTCACTCCCAAATTCACATACATAAGTTCGTACTCACTAAACGACAGTTATGCCCCTACCACAATCCAACACGTTGTATTTGGAATTGCTTCCAGCAAAAACTCGTGGCCTAAACGACAGGAATACGTTAAACTATGGTGGAAAGAAGAAGAAATGAGAGGATGTGTTTTTCTAGAGGAAAGAATTTCCGATCGCAATAGCACTATTGATTCTCGACTTCCTCCCGTTTGCATTTCCGGAGACATTTCCCGGTTTCGCTACACTTTCCGGAACGGTCTACGGTCAGCTATCCGTGTAGCGCGTGTAGTTTCTGAAACGGTGTTGCTCAATCATTCGGATGTTCGGTGGTTTGTTTTCGGAGACGATGACACCGTTTTTGTTCCGGAGAATTTGGTGAAAGTCCTTGGCAAGTATGATCATGAATTGTGGTATTATATAGGGTCAAATTCGGAAATCTATGAGCAGAATAGGATTTTTGGATTTGAAATGGCGTTTGGTGGAGGGGGATTTGCTATTAGTTATCCACTTGCTAAAGTTCTGGCAAAGGTGTTTGATTCTTGTATTCAACGGTATTCGCATCTCTATGGAAGTGATTCAAGGATTTCTTCTTGTTTGGCTGAGCTTGGAGTTGGACTGACCCGTGAGCCTGGTTTTCATCAGGTATGAATTCTGATTTTTGAATTTTGTTGCATTGTGATTAGGGATGAAAACCAAGTGTGTATTTTTAGTTAGGAAAAATTTACTTAGATTGGGTTCATGGTCCCATTTATGGATTAAACGGTGAAATTAAGAATTTTTATTGGAACGAGAGTATATATTTTTTATCATACACTTAGAAAAAAAAAGATACAGTCTAAAAAATCATTAGTTTCATTAGTTTGGTTCACAAATGAGCTTATGGACCCGGTATATACAAGTTATTTCAAAATTTATAGTTCCTCAACTCGGTTCCATCCCGAAATTGATGATTAGATTTCGTGCCTTTTCTTTTTAAAAAAATTCTGAAATTTCTCAATCTTGGCAGATTGATGTAAGAGGTGATCCATTTGGTTTACTGACTTCACATCCATTATCACTATTAGTATCTCTGCATCACTTTGATCACTTGGACCCAATTTTCCCTAACAAGACAAAAATAAATTCACTGCAACATCTCTTCAAAGCAGTAACCGTTGATTCTCAAAGAGTTTTACAAAAAACTGTTTGCTACGATGGTTGGTTTTTCTGGACTATTGCATTGTCTTGGGGTTATGCAATTGAAGTGTACGGTAACCACATATCTTTGCCTGATATTTTACCTGTGCAAACCACATTTAAGCAATGGACAAATCAAAAAAATGTTCTTGCTGGAACTTATACTTTTAATGTAAGAGAACCTCATCCTGATCCTTGTCAAAGGCCGGTGATTTTCTTTCTTGATCATGTTTCTTCTGCTAAAGATGGGGTGATTACAAGTCATTACAAGAAAAGTTACGTTAATTGCTCATATGGCACGACTTCCCCAAGAAAACTTGATGAGATCAAAGTCTTTTCACACAAGCTTGACCTTAGTGGTAAACAGGTATTGTTCAGTAATCCGACGACCCTAATTACTATTGAGTTTAAACTCACTGATCGCTAATTGATAACTTTATTAGTGAAAACATGAGCAATTGCCAAATAAGAACTCACTTCATTGTATCTTTGATGATCCAGTTGCAAGCTCCAAGAAGGCAATGTTGTGATGTTTTACCTCCTTCAGCTGACAAAGTAATGGAAATTGCAGTTAGAGAATGTGATGAAGAAGAATTAATTCACATGCACGTATAGTCTATTATTCTCATTTTGACCACAACTACGAGAAGTGGTACCTTGTAGAATCTAACCTTTACATTTTCAAGGGGAAAAAAGAGATCTAATCTTTACCATAAAAATGCTAGATACCTCTGCTTTTAATTTTTCTTTATTGAGAAGAAACTTAATTTTTAATTTCAGGATTAACAGCAAAATCCTGGCAATATGAAGCCTAAGTATGGTTACAGAGAGAATTAATCCTTAGAATGCAAGCAAAGCGAATTGGATTCAGCTTTGGAGAGATTTCAGGAAGAATAACATGGTCCTGCTTAATTTCACATGAGCTAAATTTCTTAAAGAAGTTTCAAAGGTACCTTCAGGATAGGCTTTATGCATACCTAGCATTGCGTAATATTAATTATCGCATGTGAGCAAATTTGTGATTCACTCAAAGTAGATACAGCCTATTCTTAATTGCCAGTGCAGAATATAGACCAAGATCAAAGAAATTAGATAAATATATTATATATAAAATACTCCCATTTTATGGTACAGAGGGGCTATTCAAGATTTTCATCAGTTTTTTCACTCTTCATATGTAATTCTTTTATGAAAAAGCCAGCAATCCATTGAATTTTCTTTTTAAAGCATCTTAATAAACATCTCTATTTATGGCCATAAGCATCTGGTTACCATTAAAATATGATAAAAATGTCCAAATAACCGATTTCAAATCAAGAATTCCATGAATGTTGTATGTTTATACAAATTATAATATGCGCATGGTCACATCTTCCTTGAGGAATAGCAGCTATACCTGACAGAAAGAAGGAAATATATGCCGCTTCTTGGACTGAGATTTTTTATCCTAGCCCAAAAGTGGCTTGATAATTGAGTTCAATATTTTGCTCAAGGCTTTTTTTTTTTTTTTTTTTTTTTTTTTTTGGACTTGAGATTTTTTTATCCTAGCCGCCAAAAAGTGGCTTGATAATTGAGTTCAAATATTTTCGCTCAAGGCTTTTTTTTTTTTTTTTTTTTTTTTTTTTTTTTTTTTTACACTAGTTTAATAGATGATAATCAGGAAATGTGATGGCTGATAGATAAATGTTGGTATTTGAATATTTGGTAAATTTAGTAATGATTATTGTTATAATATTTATTTACCGTTATCTTTATTTTATAATACTTGTCATATTTGGAATTTCATTCGTTCTTTAAGAAAATTATTAAATTTGTATAAATTACAATAAATTATTGAGTAAATTGATTATATTATCTTTAATTTAATACTAATACCACTGTCCCATAAGACTTGTCATATTTGAGAAAATAGTTTGTTCCAAAATATTTGTCACACTTGTGGTTTTAAGGAGTAATAAATCCATTTTTTTCATGTTTACCCTTTGCATATGACCAATAATTATTACTTTAATTTTATGGTTTTATTAGAGAATTAGTATGAAATTAAAGATAATATAGTCAATTTACTCAATAATTTATTGTAACTTTAGACAAATTTAATGATTTTCTTAAGGGACGTGAAATTCTAAATGTAACAAGTATTATAGAATAGAGGTAGTAATTCTCTAAGAAATTTATTAAATTGAAGTAATAATTATTGGTCATATGGTTCAAATAATAATTGTTGGTCATATACAAAGGGTAAAACATGAAAAAAATATTACTCTTTGAAATCACAAATGTGAAGTATTTTCTCAAATGTGAGCGGTTAGGCACCCCATAAAATGCACATGAACCCATCTGGCCGTTTAAAAATTCATTTTTATTATCCGAATTCATTTTTATTATCCGAAAACGTTCCAAACCTGATTATAATTATCCGTTTAAAAATTCAAACCCGTTTAAATGCCATTTAATATTAAAAATATTTTTTATTTTAATTTTTTAAAAATAAAAAAGCAAGTAAAAATTATAAATTATTTATTTTGATTTAATAAAAATATAATATATTGAAAAAATATTTTCTCTTAATAATTAATTTTATAATGTTAGTGTAGTCCAATTATAATATATATAAAATAAAATAATAGTCGATAGATAGAAAAAAAATTTCCAAAATATAGCTAGCGGTTTATAATTTTTACCAGCAATTTCCTATTAGTTTGAATTTTTACCAAAAAACTATAACTTAGCATCCTGATCCTTTGATTATAAACCACATACTATATACACTCCATTTTTCAGAAAAGAAAAAAAGAAAAAATCAAACCTACCTTAAAATAAAAAGTAAGAAACAGCTTTTCGTAATTCTTTATTCAATTAGGTGGGCGGGTCTAGTCGGTAGTCGGAAGACGGGTTTCATGCAGGTCGAGCTGATTTTTTTACTTGGGCCAGGTGGGCTTAGGCCTGTGTACCCCTCTGATAATATCAGTCAAAGCATAGCAAAACAGTGGTTTCAAATGGACTTTCCAAATAAAAACAAGGAAAAATGAAAAGAAGTTCTAATATTTGTCAACATAAACTTTGGGCATCTTCATGCTTTGGCATTAAAATTTGAAGCATTTAAAAATTCCCTCAAGTTTGTACAATTAACTTAACTCCATATCTCTCATTATTAGCTTATTTTTTAAAAAAATTAATTTAACATAAGAAAAGATCAATTTAGTAATTATTATTTTCCAGATTAAGTAACTATAACAAGATTGTCAAATAGACCCAAGATAATGAAATAAACAATAAAAATAAGTAAGCAGTTTTTCTATAATTACCTTTTTTAAAATGGTCGGAACAATTTGATAGAAGAGTTATGCTAATTGCCTTATAATATTTGCAGGCTACTAGAAAGTAAGATTTCAGATTCAAAACTTGCTCAACTCTACTGGAATTTATGTTTGGATTCATATGCATTTTCATACACAAAAAAGAAAAAAAAAAAAAGCAAGTTAAACCCGAACTTTTGTTATTAGGATTAATAAACTTTCCCTTCACTTCTTTATTAATCTTTCACTTTTGACCGATAGGAATTAAATTAATATTTTTTCACTCTCTTTTGGACATTTATGCTCTCTTATCAACAAATCTTACCTCCAACACCAACAATATGCAGTCTCCTGCATTACTTTCTGTGATACCACTGCTAGTTTTCTGCCTTGTTCATTTCTACACTCTTGCTAAAGCCCAAGAGGAAATGTTCTCTAACAGTTCCAGTAGTGCCTATAACCGGAACCTAAACGTCCTTGTTCTCGCTTCACTCGCTGCAAATGCTTCTCTAAGCTACTATGTTACTACCTTCGGCCAAGCATTTAATACGTCAAATGCTTCTCTAATGCTTCTCATGTAATGCTTCAGCTAATGCTAATACGTTAGCTTTTGGAAGCGCGCCTTACTTCACAGTATATATATGCAATGGTGCGATGTAGAAAAGATATAGCAGGAAATGACTTTTAAAGTTGTCTTGAAAGTATTATTAGCTATATTCCTCAGTTACTTGATAGTAAAATTGGAATCGGATTTTCTCACTAAGTTGAAATTTTCGGCAAGACATGTATTCATTCTCTTTGTTGTCATCGACAACTGCTTCTTCTCCGCCTCCTTTGTGACTGAAACCAAATCCAACGACTATAACAAAAGATTCAACTAGTCATGATGGTAATAATTAATTAAGATTTATAAATTATTTCAACGATTCAAATGAGTCGAGCTTGAGCTCAGTTCATTTTGAGTTTGGAAACCAAAGTTCGAACTTGGCTCATTTAAAAATAGCTACTCTTGAGCTCGACTCGATAATTATTAAAAAGCAGGATTCGAGCTTGAAATCTATCAAATCAAAATGATGTCATTTTAATGTCAGTTTAACTAATTTTAGCTTATTGAGTGTTAGCGATTCCGCAAGTGTACGAATTGTGCAAGCAGTATAGATAAAGATATGGTCCTCAAGAATAGGGGAATTGAGTATTAGCTTTAAATCCAAGATATATTGTCTAGAAATTAATTGAAAAAAATTATGGAATCTAAACTATTTGAATGTAAAGCAACAAGTAAATGAATGAATAAGAAAGCAGGATATATTTGATGTGATCAATAAGAGAAGGCACTAGTGTTGGGATCAACACCATTGAATAACATTATGAGACTCTAGATTCCATTTTTCAACCTAGAGGGATGCTTCTTGAAGGGGGAGGAATCCATTAATATTTATGTTCTCTTCCAAGTAGCATAAACGTTCCAAAATCAAAAGAACATCTAACTTTCGTGGTGTAATGATGATTCCAGCCCATTACTCTCTATGACTCTCCCTATATCCTTAAAAGAATAGCTTATTCCTAAGTCTATCTCCTAGGTCCATATGTGGGTCAGTCCAACAAGGGACTTCACCTTCTAGTTCTTCATCCTCTAGTTTCTTTTCGTACAAATATGGAGCTCTATCATATTCATAAGCATTAAGCACACATACACACACAAACACAAATCAAGGAAACATCCATTTAGATTGTAATAAGGAAAGAAGATTACATAAATTTTGTCCAAATGGATTTTCACCCAACACTAGCTAAGGGAACTACTTACTAATCATATTTAGGTTACAAAGCACAAGATTAAGAAGAATAGATAGCTCCAGAACCATCCTTGTCCACAATAGAAAACAGAGAATAAACTCTTGCTCCTCTTGTTAACTATAGAGTGAGTTCTTTGAGCAAAACCAAATATGAAAAAGTTCAAGTGGCTCTCCTTTCTAGGGTTTCTAAATTTGTGCTTCTCTTAATCTAAGCTGCTTCTTTTCCTTCTTGATTCCCATTTGAATCTTATCTCCTTCCTTTTTATAGTGCAAGTGATGATGTGAGGGCATTCTAAACGTTCTCTGACTGAATCTCTTATTTTTAATGCCATGGGGGAAATAATACGAACGACGTCACAGTTGTGCTTCCAGTCGAAGCTTGTTAAGTAGGCAATTTCATGGCTCGTCATATGGGCAGACAAAAAGGAAGAGTTCTGCAATAGGAACTCAGCTGAAGTACACACCAGTGCCCTTGCTGTATCTTAGATTATATGTTGGTTGATTGTCGTGTATCTTGCATTAAGTCTTCTGAATTATTATAGGAGAATACATGCTTGGCTGACTGGCTATATATTTTACCAGAATGCTTTTGACTCTCAAGTGCATAAAGCATGGCTAGTGGACCAACCGTGATTTTCACTGCCGAATCTTCCTCTTGTAAAATGATCCAAAATGACTGAAAGTGCCCCTCACTTTAGAGTTTTCTCCCTCAAAATGGTGGGAATTGCATTATAAGATAAAACAAATGCAAAATATGCACAACGCATGCAAAAACTAACTTTAATTTATTAGAAGTCCCTAAAATTAGACTAAACTAGGAAATTATAGATATAAATATGTATGCCTGAAATTCACAGATAAAAAATGCCCTAGACTTGGATAAATGCTTGTCCTCAAGCAGAAAATTAAGCACAAGCGAACATTACTAAGACAAAGAACTCATGTCACTCATTTCAAGAAAAATTCAAGGTCGAGCCAATCAAATGGTGATTGATCCTTAAATCAACCAAACCTGATACTATCAATATAAGAACACTAAGTCAAGACACCTCCCTTCCTTTGCTCTTTTATTTGAATTCCTAAGATCTATGTGAATCCT